CCTCCCAACCCAAGCTTACGCATACTTTGACTGCTCCACCATGTTCCTGCTACCTCCCACTAGCACATGTACTAAGTAACTCTGCCCATCAAGGCTTAGAAAGATGCGAAGAAATCAAACAGTAGGCCATACCCTTAAGTTACCTCATAAATCTATCTATTGCTTAGTTTTCTTTAATTATACTCCAAATCTACCCCGGTACCAATAATTTTCCCTCATTCCCTATGAACAATTTAATGTGTACATTCCTTTCCTATTGAACCGACATGAGTGTATCATCCTTGACAATACTATCATCATTAACAAATCCAAACTACTAACAAGCACAATACAAAAGTGTGCAGAAAGAATCAAAAGCTTGAGGATTCTCTGAGCAACAAAGGAGTAGCATGATTGCAACCCACTAACATTGTGATTTAACCTAATGATGGAAGCTATTGCTCAAACAAAATGCAAAAATTGCCTGCCAGCACTGATTACCCATTATAAGAAATAGTACTTAAAACCAGAGGGTAGAAGGTAGAGCTGGAGAACTTGGGTGGACAATTTAATCTACAACAGTATATCTATAATAAAGACCTATATTTCTTATCATGATTAGTAACTTAAATAAAGCTGAAATATGTAAGAGTGGGTTCTAATTGGCAGCACCTCTACTGGAGAAGTCAACAACAATAATCAGCAGTGACTACTTGGAACTCTTAGCCTTCTTATCAGCTTTAGCAGCCGCAGCTGCAGCTTTAGCAGCAGATTTGGCTAAGGTAGTGGGCTTCAAGGCACTCTTGGGGTTCAGTGCCTTTCTGATCTTAAACACAGCCCAGGCAGTTCCAAAAGCATGCCCTGCAGCATCAAGCCCTTCACTGGTTGCCTTAGCTGCTTCTTCTCCATACCTACAAAAGGCAAATTCACTTTTAATTTATATCTGAATAATTAGAGCTGCATGTCTTCATTTTAGTGTATTACCCCACTGACATAGTGTATTAGCACTTAGTTGAGCGACAAAATGAATGAAAATGTATTGCAATGAAAAGATGGAGGTCTATTACCATATGAAAGTCCTAGTTTTCATTCCTATTAAACATCAGAAAAAAGCATATGTAGCCAAGATAACTGATCGTACACTCTACCATAAATGTTTGCAAAGTTAAAGTAGGAAAAAGGGAAAGGAGAGCTTTTTCTTTGATTACAGCTTTTTTACCAATTTGGACGATTATCCAGTTTTCTTCGGCAATTTTTTCAGGTATTGGAGAACTGTACAACAACTGAGCTTCACCTGTGAGAAACAAATTCAGTCGTGACAGTGCTTGATGTAGACATCACATTCTTTCCAGCTACTTCAACAGCATCACATATTCTGCCTATTAACAAGAACATAGGCATTAGACTTCTGCCAAATTTAATAATTAATTTTAAACGAAAAAAATAAATTGCATCTACTTGTGCCAAAGACAAATTGCATTGCCGTGAGAAGTAGCACACATACTTATGAAGTTGAAACCACCAAAAATCACCTTAAGAGTGCGCAGTATACATATTGTACTCTAACTGTAACACCAGCCAGATGCATAAAGTTAATGTTCTGGGTCCCCCGTGTGCCACTTGGCCTCCCGTGTGAGAGGGAGGAAGCAGGAGTAACCATCTAAAAGCAAGGGTAACAACTAGCACTTCACTCGAACATAAAACAATTACTCAAAGTTGTCCGTTTGACAGCCCAAGTGAAACTGATTCAATCCTTTTTCTACGCAGAAAAGTGCTTCGACCAGACTCGTCATCATATCATAAATTGACTACCTCTTCCTCACCTACCGGTGATCAACTCATTCTTGCCATGGAGGACAAAAAAGAAAACATCAAAATCCAGAGACATATAAAGAACTGAAGTACCCCCTTATAGCAATGAATTATACTGCACTATCCTCCATTCAAATATTGCATACTACCCCATTGTGAACAGTGGTAGCTTTTACTTAATTCCTGTAGCATGCAGTGGTAATACGTTTCTGATCTAGGAAGATTGATATTACGTCTGAATTGAATGATTAGGTGAGAAAGGAACGGAGGGGAATGAGAGACATAAAGAATTTTAAGTTCTGATAGATCTTAGAAAGAGAATTAAAGGAGAGATGGGACTGCCAAGGTAATGAAATAAAGATTGAATCTCGTTTCCACCTATATTTAAACAGAAAAGGTAGGAAACCAAACCTGTTTTATTCAAATTTTTGTAATCTAAAAGGGGAACTTGGCATCGTGAATAAAATGGGTATTTTTATATGTCAAATTATGCCATAATAAACCCAAAACAAAACTTGTGTTATTCTCTTTTCTCCTACTTCCTTCCCTTTCCCTCTGCATAGTTTTCTTAGCTTATCAAAAGCAAAAGAAAAAAGAAAGGTGGCGGGGATCCTCTTCTCTTGATCCAAACATATCGATCAAGAATAGCTTAAGGCAGAATCAAATACATAAACTGGATTTCTTACCCTTTTCTCTCTTCTCTATACCCATGTATTAGGATTAGCAATTGCCTGATTAAACTCCTAATGAGACACAAGTGGTTAGATGTCCAAAAATAATTCAGGTGTGCACTGACTAAACGGTGCCAAGTTCAAGGAGTACCGAGGTATTATGCCTTTATATTAAAGACAATTGATGAAGACCTATACATATTTATTCTATTCCTGTCAGACATGTCCTTGACGCCATGAATCCTACATTGTTTAAAGATGACGTCTTAGCTAATCCATATGTCTGTGATAATATGGGTATTATAAAGCTGCGGTTGAACGTTTATCTGACCTGTAGCAGTAGGGAGAAAAGGTAGAAAAGCAAATAGCAGAACCTAGAGACATACAGATTCCAGAAGATATCAAAATGAGTCGGAAAGAGAGAAAGAAAGATATTTGACTTACTAAATCCATCAAGAGTAGCAAGAACCATTTCCCCAGGCAGGAGGCTAAAGAACTTTTTTCCTGCTTTGGTATTTGCAACTGACCTGGTAACGAATCCTGAAACCTTCACAGCTCCAGAAAGGACTCCAACCGCCACTTTCTCAGTCATCTTTGTTACTCTCTTAACCCTAAAAAACACAGCCGAACAAATAAGTCGCAAATATTACACCAACTATTCACATGAGTATTCCTGATCTTCTTAAAGGGATGTACATGTCGATCAGCAAGAGGTAGCTCAAAAAAAGAACCCAGGTTTATGATATTTTCCATTTCCCAAGAGTGGAAACGAGGGAAAAAGGCAGGATTTTGAGTCACTTATTTCTGTATTTCTCTATCAAAGAAAGCCTCACATGACAGCTTCTCACGCTAAAGTTTTAGTTATAGCAGGTTTCAGAATTTATAGGAACAAGCATCATTATCAGTAATAGAAACCAGATACACTCAGGTGAATCAAAATTATCTTGGTTTCATGATGGTCTTTAAGGATGCTTAACATAATTCAAACCGATTAACAGTTTTAAGACATTTGTAGCCAAAATAGTTAAGAAAATCATAAAGTTTCATAGTCCAACAGCTCACTGGGATTAGCTAAATCTCTAAAACACCGAGAACATTTCCCGTCATATATTCTGGCAAGTGTAGATAATTGCATCCCGTTTCTTTAGAGTCATAACTTTTTTTTTTTTTTTGGATAAGGACATCCCCTTTCTTTAGAGTCATAATTGATTACCTTGTAATGAGTAAAAATATAAATTTCACTCCAAGTGCCCTAATATCAAACAAACCATCTCTACCTTCTATATCCTCTCACTCAATGGAAGTTCATCACAAGAAAACAAAAGAGAAAGCCTTGTGCGCACAAAAGAAGAGGCTAAATTTTTCTAGTTCAACAATTCCACACCTTTCACTGACTCATCCCTATCTTTAAATTACTAATGGCCGTCATGCATTAATGTGGGGCAGTAATAAATATCCTCTACTTTAACTTTCATGCTTTCCCATGTGAAGGGGAAAAAGAAAAAGCACTTCCCTTCACATTTAAACTTCATAGTCCATTTTATTAGTTCCTCATTTATGTGACACTTTTTCCTCGTTAGTCTGTCTTAAAAATGATGACACCTTTCTCTATTTAGAAAAAATTCAACTTTACAATTTTCATTTTACTCTTGATAAGAGATTTATGGCTAGACAAATGTCATGACTTGTTTTAGATCACACGTTTCACAAGTCTTTCTTTCTTAAACTTTGTGTGGCTAGTCAAAGATCATCAGATAAAATGGGACGGAGGGAGTAGCCCATTTAAGAATTCAACAGGTAGTCAGTCTCACTATATACTTTATCTTACTTTGCAAAATATTCAAGAACTCACAAGATTGCTAATCAATAAGACAACCAACAATTGCAAAACAAAGATATTTAGCTGATAATCAAGCAAAAGACCATACCTTTTGATCCTCTTCAATGTCTCAGGACTAACCTCAGTTTTCGAACCTGTCTTAAACCTATTCTTCAATACCTCATTCCCCCACTTCAATCTATCCGCAGTCACATCTCCACACCACAAAATCCCCTTTATCAAGTGTCCTGACCCCGAAGCCACATACTTTGCCGCCGAGGCATTATACTCCTCCACATTAGGCGCCAATGTGGTCCAATACGCCGCGCATCGCTCTTCCAACACTTCCTTCTTCTTCTCCGACTTCAAATCCGCCGGAGACAACTCCTTCGGCACCGGTCCGCCCAACACCGCTGCGGCCTTCTCCTCCACTTTCTGCACCGCAAAGTTGCTATAATTTTCCAAAATGCCATCCAGCTCCTTTAGTAATTTCTCCTGACCTTTGGAAGCAATCGTTAAACCATAATTCAACGATTCATTCTCCAAGTCATTAGCCGATGATTCCTTATCCGATTCGTCATCTTTAGGAGCTTGAAATGAGAAAAAGTAGCGTGAATCGTCGAGTTTTACGGCGGCAAGGTCCTTAGTCAACGGCCACTGGATTTCGTTTCCGACACGAACGAGGACAGCGACGACGCTGTTGTCTTGCCGGAGACGGTGAACGGATAAGTCGCCGGAGGCGAGTTCGACGGAGTAGTGTGTGTCGATCAAATGGAGAATGGAACCGGGGATAGTGAGTAGGGTTTCTTCGAGGGTTTCAAGAGGGGCAGACGGTGAATAATGCTGCTCGTTAGGGGTAAATTGGTCATTTTCTGGAAAGAGGTTTTCAACGAGGTCGTTCATGTCAATGGTCGGGTAGAGATTTTGACGGGAGGAGGAGGAAGGGGGGAAAGGGGTATTTTGGTCAATGACTACTTGGGGATACATTGGGGTTCGAGAAGTATTAGGGTTTAGGGAAGCCATTGAAGAAGAGATCAAAGTGAAGTTGAAAATGGAGGAATGGAGTAGAGAAGACGAGAGATGAAGTTCAGACTTCAGAGAGAAGCAGAAAAGGTAATAATAGGCCAAACGCGTAAAATGGGTAGTTTCATACATTAAACTCTGTTATTAAAAAAAGAAATATTAAACTCTGTTAACGGTCTTGGGAATTTCACGCGTAAGTACCGATAAGTGTACTACTGCTTTTCGGTTAGATAAAAATATAAATTTTATTTGAAAAAGAAAACATAAATTTTAAGGTGAAAATCATTTATATTCCCAAATTTACTTTAAAAATTAAATTCATCCCCAACTTTGAACAATTATCATTTTCATCCTACTCAATATCTATTTTACCCTTACATTTTCAACTCCCCATATATATAAGTACATNTATGAAAATGCATATAATGTATTTCGGGGGTGTGTGATTTTAAGTTTCACTATTTTTATTATTCTCCGTGTGTATATAAAATTTTGAATTTTGATTGTTATCAGTAGAGTTTTTCTAAGTTATAATTAAAGTTCATATAAAGTGTAAATAGATAATTTTTGTGAATTTATTATAAAATTTACCTCTAGTTTTCGCCTATTATTTTTTATTACTTGCATTGTATAATTTATAAAATTTTCACTCTCTTTTAATCTCAATTTTATAAATAGATTGAGTTTTGAATGCTATTAATAAAATTATTGATACGAGTAAATTATTTGTTGTAACTTTTTACTTTCTCTTATTTTACTATTGAATACCATTAACTTATATAATTGGCTACTACTTCACACTTTCTTGGTTTCAAAAAAGCTTCTTTAATTTGTCTATAAGCAAATCGATAACATAAATTAAAATAAAAAATATCATTATATTAAAGAATAAAAATAAAAGATAAAAATTATAAAGGGTAAAATTGGCTTTAAGAAGTCACCTTTGATATGAGGAGTAGAATGATAATTGTTCAAAATTGAAGGATGAGTTTGATTTTTAAAGTAAACTGGGAGATGTAAATAATTTTCACCCAAATTTTAAGTGATGCAAAAATATTTTAACCAACTGTATAACATTTGCTTCCTTTTAAGTTACTAGATTAGGCATGCTATCTACTTGTCTCATGTACTCAATTTTTGGAGAACTTCTTTTTTTCTTGATTTCGCTTACTAGATTTCTTGTTTGTTAATTTTCTGTCTTGGTGGGAGTAGATAAGGATAATGAATCAAATGAACGTGAAAGAAATTGAACAGTTTATGTGATATTGAAAATCAACAACCTGATTGTGGTACTCTTACGATTTTTAAATTTCAATTTTAAAGTATAATATAATGTTAGTAATTAATTGATATGGAAAAAATCCAAGGTTGTGGACCTTGTAATAGGATGAATAGGATCCCTGTATCCTCAAATAAATGTATTGACTTCGAGTCCTAAATAAAAGAAAATCCTGATTAAGAGTGTTTCTCCATTAATGACCTTTGAACGGTGCGAATCTGAATTATTCGGACTTACAAAGTAATTATCATACATCGGGTTTAATAAATAAAATGGAAAAAAGGAGATAGAAAAGAAAAAGAAAAGGTTGTGCGTGAGTTTGCCTTAGTTAACATACTTATTTGCTGGCCCTCTTCTCGCACATGAAAGTTATGAAGGGATGATTTTTTCTCTTTAGATTTTTTTGTGAAGAAATGAACTTAGCGAAAACTTCAAAGTAGTTGTCCACTAGACAAATTATTCTAGTTTTTGTGTAGAAAAGAAGCCAAAAAACTCCATCAAAATCTTAGAAGAAAAGTTTCTTCTCCAATTGGTAAAGACTCACTGATTCATCTTCAACATTCCAACTCAAGTTGGAGTGTATAACTTAAATTTGTGTGTTGGTTTAAAACTGTATCCGGGTTTGGAAAAGGGTCTGCGGGCAGTTTGTCATTTTGAATGCTTTATCCATGTATACTTAACTATATGGTATAAACAATGGATAAAAGCAAAACAATGCATAGTTTTCTCTGACAAAATAGGCGAAAATTTTACCATGTGACAAATGATCTATAGGAGATGTGAAATCTATAACATAGTTCAATATGGAGAATTAATCCGAAAAGTAAAGGTATAACTCAACTAACTATTTTCCTATTGAAAAACGACCTCAAAATCTTCTCTAGTCCATCGTCCAATCTAAAGGATATTCCTATAATCAGTTAGCCGCTGGAAAATATATGAGAACATTAACCATAAACAACATTGGGAGTGATGACCTCAAATATTTTACGACGAGAAGGGAGCAGATTTCAATTGTAAGAGGATAATATAAATATATAATCCCCATATTGGTGCTTGAAATTACAGGGAGAGCAAAAAATGCATAATCTATACAAGTGATTCAGATTTTCCAAGTGGAAGAGGAGAGGAACAAGTTTTTATTTATTTATAAACAGTACAAACATATTTGAACTAACAACAACATAAGACTTGTAGCTATGGCTTTTCTATGAATCCTGTGTCTCGGCAACATACTGTGTCTCGGCAACATACGCGGAGTTAGGATTTGAAGCTTGTGGGTTCGGAATTCTAGTTTATTTATGTTACTGGGTTCTAAATAAATAATTTATACGTATTCAATAATTTTTTTTAAAGACAAATACATGATTTAGACCAAAGTTACCGGGTTCGTCCGAACCCTCACATCCTATGCTAGCTCTGCCCCTGCTCGGCATTACCAAAAACTAGTTTCCCTGTTACAAAGAAAAAGCGCCACTGCAATACCTGCATGATTTAAGAAAGTTAGCATGAGACGAACGCTATTCCAAAGGAAGTTTTAAAGACCAGTAAGACCGTCCATAGAAAGTGAGATTAGTAAACTGAAAAATTTAAGAAATTGACTTTTACATTGTCAATGTATGCAAGTTAAATCCTATTGGAAACTGTTGAAAACAAGGAATTAAAGGAGGACATGTGGAGGCACATGTAGGGTTAAAAAAACCTTATGATGTAGTTAAGTAGTTAATATTCAGTAAAAATGCTCAATCTTAGACCTTCCTTGGGAAATTTTACCTGTCACTGAACTTTTCAACAGCTTCAGAGGCATAAAGAAGGGTCTCATTGGCTTTCTCAAGTACCATATAGAGCTCCTTCCCTCGGGTCAACCGGGAAATCACCCAAGCACCATTTTTTGCTCTAATACAAATTTCTTGGTCTTTATCGCAGTCCGAGCCATCACATTTAGCTCTGCTCTTTTCTAAGTCAACCTCTTCTCGGAGCTTATTCATTGCAACTAAAGAATCCTGTATGCATTATCAGATTATTCAGAGCAACAGTCAAATCTAGTTATTACAGTACACAAACTTGATTACCATGGCTAAATCGTTCTATGAAAAAAGAATATTACCAGTTAATGACTACCTCATTAAACAAATGTTCACGAACTTAACAAGAAAACTGGTCCCAAGGTAAATATATTTATAGTAAAACTGGCCCTCATGCAATAAGGTAAACATCAGAGAATTTTATTGAACACTTAGGTTCTGAGTAGTATTATCGCTTATTTTTTCTATGTTTGGTTGGCGAGTGAAAAACTTTTTCCGAAAAATATTTTCTAGTGTTTGGTTAGAGAATAGAAAATATTTTTTAGGAAAATAATTTTCCCTTCTCTTGATAGGGAAAACATTTTCCTCCAATTGGAGGAAAATGAGGTCATAAGGAAAATGTTTTTCAAAACACTTAAGCCACCCAAACATACGAAAATTGGAAAACATGTTAAATATTTTTCTTCGTACCAGACACACCCTTAGAAGCAGTGTGCTATCTAATCACCTTTGACAAAAGATTGATTGACATGGGGCTTAATAGGTCACCTAGTGCAAGTACCCTAGGTGCAGACTCAGTATATCTTTAAAAGAAACTACTAAATAAAACATGTTTGTCAATAAATAAATGAGAATTTTCAAAATAACAAACAACCAACCATCCAAATATATGAAACTGTGTACCAAATAATTTCAAATTTGTTAATGTCTAATTGACAAATTTTTTATAGCACACCCTGTTTTTTCTTTTCTAGTTTTCAGTTTTACTTGCTTGTGGCAGAGGGTTCACATTAAGGGTGCAAGATAGCCAAACACCTCACTGTGAGCCATATGCAAAAACTCTAAGCATCACGGTAACCACAACAAGCACCTCACTGCCAAAGGAAGCTAAGAACAAGAAGTCTCCAACATATCAAATTATTTGGATATAACATATCCAAAGAAACATATTCCATGAAATTATAGAAATTTTACTTTGCCTTGGCACCAATATTTAATTTTGTATAAGGTTTCTGACTGCAAGCAACAAAAAGATGCCAACTTGGTCAAACTTCGTCAGCTATACCCCCACAATTACAACTCCAATAAAAATCTTATCTTCGCAAATACAATAATAATGAGGTTCTAAAAGCTTTCATCTTCTCTGATGTCCTGCTGCATCTGTTAGTAGCAAGTGTGTTGGAGTACCCATATAATGTGACAAAGTGTAATTGAAGTTGAGGAGCAAGAGCTGCCGCACTTAGAGAGACGAAATAATCTTTAAAATCTTTACTATTTTCACATGGCTATTAAATAGGCACGTGTATTGGAACTTCCACTATAGTCAAAAAAGCAAAGCAAGCATTACAATAGGTGGATTCTCGAAATGAAATGAAAGCTTGAGTCTTTGACAACCAAAAGAAGGAAAAAAGGAAGTTATCTAACCTTTGTAAGAGTTGTTACTTTTCCAGGTGGAGATGCCCGAGAGATGCATCTATCACCGTCTACAAGTAAGTAGCGGTAACCACTCACATGATATGCATTCTCGCCAACCCATCCTCTGGATAGTTTCTCTTCAACTTTGGATATCTTGGGTGATGCCTGAAATTAACAAGATATGTAATGAACTGACCAAGATAATAATTTTATATATCATAATTATGCTCGCCAGAGAAAGGCTATTAATCTCAAAAGCAGGATAAATTTTCATCAAATGAAAATGGAAGGGAAAAACCACAGAGAACACACGAAACATGATCTTTGATAAAAGCACCATAACTAATATTTATTTGATTCATTTTCACTTGAGGTCGTATATTTGATGCATCAATTCATTGTCTCTTCTACTTGTGCCCACTCGACTTATGAGGAGTCAAATCAAAAACTAGCTTGGCTAATACAACACTAACCAGCTACTATTTTAAGTCTTTAAAGAAGTCTTGTAAAACCTAGAGCAACAATATACAGATGGTTTAGTGTATTTGTCAACTAAAAAAAGGCACACAACCACCACGGAAACCCAGGATCTATAATGTGAGCTTGTTACTGAGGATTTGTTCAGGCTAGAATGCAATTAAGTTTATGCTAGTAAAAAGTTTGTCAACAAAATAAATAGTACACATGAGGATTAAACAGTTTATTCCCTTCCTGGTCAAGAGAATTCACAGGGGAAAAAGCATGGGATACAGAATGTCTATGATTGACTCTAGCCTTTGTACAGCAAAGAATTTTGTTAACCAATCTTAACCACATCAGAATGATTTAGTCGTTGGTAACTTCTAATTTTGCCAAGGAAGAACATATTACAAATATTCTTTCATTTATATTTGCAATCAGATTGACATCAATGTGTCAGTCTCAACCTATAACAAAGCGCAAGATTTCATATAAGGAAACAAAAATGAAGAATCGGTGAGATGATTTAGTGTCCGTGTCAACTAAAACTTCTGTGAGATAAACTGGCCTGGGAGTTGCTATATATTGCCATGAAGGAAAACTTTCTATTCTCCTGCCAATATAAACAAAAAAAGAGTTCCCTTTTCCTGCTCGCAAAAGACTGGCATTTCCCATTTCTTTGTTCATCCCGGCTGTAACAAGACAATAAACATTTATTTCCTTGATTTACTATGCTGCAGCAAGATAAATTAGGGTTTTCACCCATTTCCTTGCCAGCAACTACTCCAACATCCTCCTACCCACCGTTGTTAACCCTCTACCCTTGTAAATATCTTCTGGCCCAACAAAAGCGAGAAAATAGAGACACCTTCCTCCTTATATAGGAAGCGTGAGGCATAAAAGGTCCAAGCTGCTAACTGGCCCACCATAGCGACTTTACGCAATCACTACGCACAAGCATCATTGTTAACGTTTACCAAATGCAGAAAATCAGCAAGAACCAGGCAGATAAGACTATATTTCTTAACCCTTATCCGCAGCCAATGCAAAATTAAGACGTGATGTTATAGTTTTATCTCACTGAGGTCTCTCTATCAATGTTTCAGAAAAGGTCATAGAAAAGCTTTACATTATGGAGCTAATTGTAGATCCTTTGCAAACCCTGCTGTGATAAGTTCCATTTTACATAGAAGATGTCCTAACAAAGAGGTCCTCATTAGGAGGTTAGGGTAGACCAAAAGAAGAGCCCACATTTAACAAGGACCAACTTATATTTCAACAAAAATAAGATAGTATGCTTTCATTTGTTGTATCGACTTACATTCTCCAGAATTTGCTGCTTCACCACCGATAACCCTTGCTCCCCATTGTGTACAGATGTGACGGGAATGAAAAGAATTATGGTGAGGCTCCTATGCTGAAAAGCACAAAGATACATCCTCTCCTCTGTTTGCTTAAGCCAAATTGTTGGACTGCTGGGACTCAAGCTGCCAACTTCTGTGCCCCAGATATCAGTAACAAGGAAACCATCCTTCCCTTTGGACCATTTGTCATGCTGTAAGGGTCTAACAACCTGATAGCTACGAACTCCAACTGGAGAAGTATCCCGTGAGCTGTAGTACCGGTCCAGGACAGAGGTAGAGCTTGCCAATAATGAACCAGAAGCATTAGAAGTAGTGCTTCCTTTGCGTAAATAGGACCAGGAGCTAGCACCAGCAGACAGAGCATTTGGGGTCAACCTCATGACAGTATAGGTGAATAGGTTAATCAAGTCATCCTGAAAAAGCGAATAGTAATTGTTCATGGTTAGAGCAAGACATGACCATTAACATCAAAGGTTCCCCATAGATAGTTTGTCAATGCAGATAATATTGGTTTTATTCAGATCTTTCTTTAGTTTTGAATTACAACTGCTTCTATAACAAAATTACTAAAGATAAACCGGCCACCGGGCTTAACCGAACCAGGACAGGCCTAGTTAAGTTGGGCTTGGCCAGGCTTGAACTGGCCCAAACCGGTTTCGACTTAGCCGGGCAGGGTGAAAATTCTTGGGTTTGAGAACGGTCCAGGACCAGGACCACCAACCAATTATACCGATTCTTGGTGGGTCACCCCAGTCCAGCCGGGACTTTTACCTCTTATAATTGCATTTATTTAAATGGAATTTTAACAATAATTATTTTGAAGCATGTAAATATAACGTTTTAAAATTAAAAAAAAAATTAAATTTAACATTGTTTTTGTTTATTTGTTTAATACTTTGTTAATTAAAACAAGAATATAGTGGAGGAAACCATGTAATCCCAATCTAATATATTTTCATGTAATCCCAACTTAATATATTGTTCAAATATACTCATACTTTATTCATGTTCAGATATATAAGTTCTTTTGAGTTTGAATCATTGTCGACCGCTTGAATTCTTACTTAGCTTTGACCCAATCTTTTAAGCGAACAACAACCTCTGAAATATTTCCTGAGAGTAAGTTCATTTGGCCCCGACTAGAAGTATATTCAGATGCAATGGTATAAACTAGAACCATTAATTTCAGTTTTTTCCTACTAATTAGGGCCGTTCCGATTAGGAAGTTGGTCCCTATTCGAGCCACTTCATGAGCTAGAAATCCTGAACTTGCCCAAGCCCAATATTTAGGCATGGACTAGCCCAGTCCCGGTTAACCTAACTGGGCCTATATTTTGTGGGCCAATTTCCTTAGTAACCCGGTCCAGTTGCCAGGTCTAACTAAAGACAATACAAAGACAGAAAGTACGAGAGAGAGAGAGAGAGAGAGAGA